AGAAGCTTCAAATCTAATGCTTTATATTTTGTATCATATCTCTGCTCAAATAAACATTCACTTAATTTATAATAAACTTTTTTTTCTATCTCTTATTCACAACGCCAGACTCTAACTGTGTTTGCGCAAATCATGTTTGACGCAAACTTTGTCCATTTCAAAAAAGCTGTTGCACGCTGGTGAAAGCTTGTTTTGGTAGTTAAATGAAGCGGAAATCATATTGTTAAGTCAATGAATTTTCTGATTCATGAAAACAAACAGTTCAATACTCTTTACTCTGCAATTATCAATTTAATTTGTTTGTGATAAACTTAGGTATGAGCTATCCCCCATCGGCGGCTGCGAATGTTTACAAAAAAGTTCTTCATCAATGTGCAGCTGCGATTTGTTTCACAAATGGTTTTGATGCTGCAGAACAAGGCATCTTGGAGGTTATAACACATCTTATGACAAGCTGTAAGTCGCACAATATTTTTGAAATACTTTCTCATGTTGAAGATTTAAATGCAATTTGTTCAAACTCTTCTCTCAATTGTGAAATAGCTGGAAGAACTGTCGTCATTCCAACAGATGTATGGTTGGCTTTGATCAATATGGGACATGATGTCACAAAGCTTCCCGGTTTTTTAAGCAAAATCTCAAATGGTACTCTTGTTATACCGCCTCGTAAGATTAGTCCTGATCAATCAATGTATGATATTAAGTGTTGCAGCAAAAGTGCAATCCCCTCCTCAGAATAATGCTCCGTTACGGGTAGGAAGATGTCGTCCTCATCCACAACATGTGAATGAGTTTTTGCCTTCGTTTCCTGATCCTCACACATATATTCGTACAGAAGTGAGAAGATATTATAATACTACATTAGTTTTGTCTCACAGATTTCAGGTGAACCCGATACTTCCTATGAAAAGGTCCGAGAAATGGCTTCACAAAGAAAACGAGATACAGGTATAATAGTCGCTCGAATTTTTGTCATCACAGTATTGTAGAAACCTCTCTCATAAACTTCATGCTCCGTGTACATCCGCGAACTAGCCTTTTTCGAGATTATGAGACAAAGCTGAAAGATGAAGCGGCCAAAGCTGTAAGTTTGAAACTATTTCCAAGCCAATCTACATCTTCTCCAAGATGAGCGAACGTGAACGGCAGAAAGACGCTAGGAAAAGAGCGAGGAAGCAGGCCAAAGTTGCCGAAAAAACCCAGAAATCTATGACAAACAATAACAGTTTGCCTGATCAACTAATTGATGATTTTCTTGAGGATTCGAATAAGGAGGTGATATCTTTGAAGCTTTCGTATAACTTCATACGGCTAATCGCAGGACGCTGTTATATTATCTGATAGTGAGGAAGAAGATGACGGTTTTGAGCTAGAAGAGACAGAAAATAGCATAATCCTAAGATGGATGCCTCCTTTTTGTTCAGGTTAGACGAAAATGTTTTTAATTATCTGTTTTTAATCTAGTGCTTGACCCATCTTTGGAAACAAGGCCTTACTTATCAACACTTGTCACCGATGAAATACAGGCAAGCTATACTATTCATCATTGTTTTATTAATTAACTTTATTCAAGGAAGATGAGAACAATGAATCTTCTTCCACTGATCAGCGCTTGCAACAAACGATTAGTTTGGCATCTGACGATCATGTATGTCTAATTTCTTTATTACGGAATAAAATATCTTCATTGCAGACTTATGACAATGCATTCCTTAGACCTCCCAGGATACCAACAAAGGAGGAATATGAGGAGATGGAGTATTGATTTACTTATCACTCCTTTCTGAACATTTAAGTATTCTCCAACCTGGCTACAATCATCTCATAACTCATCTTCGTAGAAGCGAAGTTGAAAGTAAATCGTGTAAAGTTCCATCCATGGAAAAAATGAAATAGGAAAAACATTTATTTTAACTACGTTAATAAATTATCTCTTCTCCACTTGTCTCGAGTTTGATCAAATCAAGGCGAGTTCAGTTAACTCATGTGATAAAGATTTTCTTCAAATTTCCATTTTACATCGTTCATGATGCTTACAATCATTCATTACCTTTTCTCTTATATCTTTTGATCTCATA